GTTAATTGGAATGCACAACGAGTACCACATTTCAAATTCCAGACAATTCCGAATGGGAACGCATAATTGTGATAACAAGTAAGGAGACATATGGTATGTCTTCACTTCAAATGAGCAGATATGTAATGCAGAATATGAGAAAGAGAAAAAGTGAAGTATACTTAGGAATTATTTTTAAAAAATTTCGCAAATAAATTTGCTTCTTTGTTATCGTTTTTAGTTTAATGATTGAAAGGATTGTTAAAGAAACAAATGAATATCCATCCCTACGAGATGAGCAATTGGTGTGATGTATGTATTGAGTGTTAAGTGAGGCAAATCACTCACCGATCATTTCACCATTCAGTCCGAAGAGCGAACTATGGGATCGGTGTCGTGGTGCAGAAGGAGCAGGCTATAGCAATCCGCACCAGTGCCACATGTTACCATACCATCACCACTACTATTAACTTATCCTCATTATCTCAACAACCATATCCGAAACTATTGGCCATTTTATCACACTTTTTTCGTTTTCGTTTTATTTCCAAAATGCTTTCATTTAAAGTAATCTTTCATAAAATTAAAAAAATTATATCTAAATTGCATTTCCCGAAAAAAATGAAGTTTTATTGAAAGCAATGAATTCATTTATCCTTACAGTTTCACTTAAATGACATTAGCATATTTTATTGATAGCAAATTTCCTCCTCAATTTTTATTTCTCTCTCATACCCTGACGAATCATAAACTTCCTATGCAAATTGCAATATTTCAAATAATATATTTAGCTATTGAAGGATTGGTACTCTAATTTTTCGGTGAAAGATTATTATGAAATGCTGTAAATGAATTATTTGTAAATCAAATTCTTTTTCTTCCGCTTTCTTATTGATTTATTGATCCCTACAAATAGCGAATACTTTTGATTTGGTCGCAAATGATTTCTTCCAATAGAATGCTTTTTTTCTCCTCCGTCAGATACAGTTATGTACTAAATTCTGAAAAATGCTATCATACTTATCCAAGTATTCACTCTTTGATGCAGCCATCAGTGATAATGCTGTCAATTAACGAGGTTTTCCAAGTTTTAGCCACCATAGCTTTTTTTAGTCTTCTTAAAGTTTCGAAGTTTTCCACTAACCCTTTTTTGAAATAGATAGGCAAAGGTAACCGATCAATAGAAACTTTCCAATTCGGTAGGATACGCAGCGAACTGAATGGCTGCATTATAGACCGTTGATAATCGGTTTGGAATGAAAATAACGGAAAACAGAAGTCACTGCTTAAATGAGTGAAATAGTGATATAAGGTAAAATAGCCAACTGGACTAAGCGTAAATTCGCAACTGCCAGCTAACAACTTCTTTTAACAATAAGCACCAGCAAAATATATACGTGCACTTACTGTTTTCAGACCAACTTCGAGTAACAAATAATCTGTGCCAATTTCAGCAGCGTAAACTTATGTAAGCTTTTCAGCAAATTTTGCTATATATTTTAGAAACTTTGTTTCTTTGATAGGAGAAATTATAAGGTGATAAGAAGCTTTGACTTCTCTCTTTTGTCAGCCATGTTTCCAAGAGGGGATTATTTATAGAAAATGATGCCATACCAATTGATCTAGTATCACAACATTGCTATTACTTTTATCATTATTACCACTGGCATGGATGACAAATTAATGTTTATTATAAAATATCTTCTAATTATCCACTACCGTTATTTCCATTAAATTAGTTATTATAATTAGTGAAATGAACCATAAATTAACAGCACAATTTTTTTGTCCCTGATTTCATTAACTTTTCCTGAGTGCAGACAATAACAAAGCTTTTAATAATTGAATGTGGAAAATGTAATTTAAGGAATTCCGTAAATTTGAAATTTCAGCTTCAATTTTCTGCCGATTAACTTTCTCGGCTATCTAATTTTTTCCTTATTCTTGAAAAAATTCGTCTGTAGAAAGCAAAAATGGTATCTTCTATGTAAATGATACCAGCGCGTTAACGTTTGGCGCGGTATACCTCCGAATTGTCGCCTCAAACTAAATTTAAAATAAGCACCCTGTTGGACAGCAGTTATAACTTAATTTATTTCTCAGCAGCAATTTCGATTAGAAACAGTTTCTAGTTATTCTATTCTAAATTCTGTTAAATTATCAAAATCATAAATAGTATAAATAGAATCAGTAATTTATTCTCACAGTGATGTGACCGATCTTCAATATGGGTGCATTTATCTTCCGAAATTCGATACTGATGAATTCGTCCAAACGCCTCTTTTGAACTACTCTTTGTTTAAGTTATCGATGATTCATTACCTCGTTTTCTTGGCTAATTAATTTCTATTTTATTGACATAATTCGATCAGTATTTTTTAGGTAAAATTAATATTTCTTCAACGAGGACTTACATATTTGCTGCTAATAAGCATTTATTTGAAAATAATTAATTAAAAAGGCAATTTTAAATGAAATCATTTTCGGAATCAATCTTATCGACTCATTTTTATATGGTACATACCTTGAATTTCGATAGCTGCTGATTCAACATCGATTATTACTTGTAAGCGATGATTTTCTGAAACCTACCCTACTCCCTGTTTTTGTCATATATCTTTCTTTTATTCGTAGACCAATTTAAATATTTCGGAAATGTCTTTCAAAAATATAGGTCGAAATATTTTGATTGAGATTACGAAACATCAAAGCATCAGAATTGAAGAAATGATTTAATGATGATGTTTTCTGTAAATGCAAAAAAGTAAAATCATCCGAACGAGTGATTAAAGGATCTCATTTTCTGTGAACACTAAAATTGATCATCGAGACGATTCAACGAATTATGACAACAGTTGTTTCTACAATCGTCAGATGTCTTTGAGAAGAGAAAGAAAAATGAGGATCATTTTTTTTTGAAAGGATTCAATTCTTAATAATCTGTCTCAATGGCCCTATTACTATCATTGCCCGTATCTTTGCTCGTTTCAACTCTAAGGTTGGATATTACTACTCGGATGGCATTGTTAGCTACGCCAGAAATCTCGGACCAAAGTTCGGACTTGGTTTCCGAAAGTATAAATTCTGACAGACATTTTATTATGCATCTATTGTCACAAAGTCGAAATTTAACGATTTCCGAACGAAATGGAAATTTGTTCACCGATTCTCTATTGATTGCTTCACTTGATAACAACACAGTTAATACGTTAAATATCAAGTGTTCCAACGATATTTCGCTGAGAATCACAATGAATAATAATATATCAAAAACGATCCTATCACCGTCATTGTGTCGACAAAATTCTCAATTAAGTAAGCTCTGGAACCACAACCGTATTACAGTATCTCTTATCATCGGGTTATCAGTGGTTAGTGGAATGAGTTGAATAATGTATTTTTCTCGATGTACAACAATTACTGATAAATATACTGTACATTGCAATTATAGAAAAATCCACACACTATTAAATAAAAGAATCTTTCGAGGGAAAGATATTTTTGAATATGTCAGGAAAGCTTTTGATATAATAAAGTAATATTGCAAGATTTCCCTGACTAAGGGGCTGTTTTATCAACGGATAAATTTTCTCGAAAACTTACATGCAACAAACATTTCTTATAGCAAAAGAAATCGATAGGAATACATGGATAATAAGACATTCCAAACTTTCTCAAAAGTTTTTATTCAATTGTAAAGAGTAAACTGAAAAGTGGCATTTTAGAAGTACAGATTGGAGGTATAAAGGAAGATCAAGAATGGTACTTTAATGGTTGTGTAGGAAATGTTACTATTGCTGGGGAAGTTTTGTTAGATCGATGGTGCAGGTTAGTTAATTTAGTCGATTGTAGTTTAATGCTATAATGAATTATGAATCAATGCTATTTTTGTTTCGCTTATTGCCGGTGAAATGGAAGAGGAGAGAGAAGAGCCATTATATTAAGCTTCATGAAATACTGAAAGGTATACACCTGACGTGAAATGAGATAAATATCAAAGTTTTTTAAGAGGACATTAAATTAAATATCAAAAAATTTTTTCAAATATTTAGCTCTGATAATATTTAGCTCTGAAAAGTCACAACAGAAGCAGCAACAACAAAAAGATGCAAACAAACAATCAGATGGACCCCGTCCTCCGCCACATTACGTGGAACGATCGCATTTTACAGAACCATTGATTTTGGATGAGGGAGCAATTGTTCCGATACAGAGACGGAATATTTACCTCTTCTCAAGACATCATTATGGGAACATTTCAAAAGGAGATATTCTCTTCAGGTAATATTACATCCAATCAGAGAGAAAAGGACGAAAAGAGAGTAGCAGAGGAGAGACAAAATAATTAATTATGGAATTTCATAAATCTATTAAATTTTAGCTTTTCGAAATCCTATTCGATTACTTTGGATATAATTTACAGAAAAATGATATGCAAACTGATTTTTGAATTCATTTTTTTTTGTTTGATTCTTTTATGTGATCGCATCTTCTTATAGCACTCGTCGAGTTTTGATTTCTGAGTAAGAATTGCTTTTTCAAGTAGTCATCATCTTGTTATTTGTTTTTTTTACCGACTTCCTCTTCACTAAATTATCATCACCTGTTATTTATTGTTCCAGGGTATTGGAAGCACCACAACATGGACAATTATTAAAGTATAGCCAACCAATAAATCAATTTGTTATCAGCGATATTTTAGCTAATAAAATATTTTACAAGCACGACGATAGCGAAACAATTACTGATAACATTGGTTTAGAGGTATTATGGCATTTTTTGATGCCTGAATATGCCTAAATGATAATGAATATAATGAGATAATAATAATGAAGATAATGCACAACTTGCTAAGATGACTTTCCAAGATGATAAGCTATTTATGGTACCAAATTATTCGATATTTAATTTTAAAAAGTGGCATTCACTTTCTGCCAACATTTCCAAATTTAATTTTCAGGCTATGATAATTTCACAAGAAGCAGTGGCATCAAAACGGAAAATGATCTATAATATACCAATACGAATCAACCCTGTAAATGATGCACCAGAACTTAAACCGGGAACTGATTATGAAGCACTATGGATAACCGGTGATTCAAAGTAGGATTCCTATTTTCAATGAGTGATAGTAGCAAATATGTTTATGATAAGCTGTGAAAAATTCATTTATAACATTCGTTTCATTATTTTATTAACAAACCAAACAAAAAAGAGGAAAAGAAAAAGGTTTTAAAGATAATATAAAAGTTTTAAGACAAAAGAGAGGACGAAATTTTTGAAAAATGCTGAAATTTATATCTTAAAAAATTGTCAGAGAAATCAAGAATTTAAGATAGACTCACATCTTTACTAACAGAATGTGGGAGTATGCACCTGGCCAGAGGTATTCTTCTGCAATGAATAAATTCTCTGTGCATCTAATGGAAATGGGGGATAGAAAAAATGGACCAGCAGCCTTTTCAACACCCATAATTCTTCTCCTGCTACTTATTATATATGAAAATTTCTGGATGAATATGTTTAAAGGCTTAAGTTAGATAGTCGAGCAATAAGCCTGTGGGATGCGGATAGCAATCCGGAAACAGTGTACGTTTCTGTTGTCGCTACTGATGGAGTGCGGTTAGAAAATTCGGAGAAGAAGGAAATTCGAAAATTCACTCAGCGAGACTTTTTAAAAAACGATGTAAGTTATCGATTCTATTAAAATGTTTAAAAGTTTTAGTAAAATAGTGAAGAAAATAAGGGCAAAATTGTGACTAATGTTCAAAATCTATTCTATCTTAAGCTTTTGTCTTATTCACTCATAGTTTTAGCAAAGATAAATGGAGAATAATTAAAGAAGAGAGAAGTGACAGATTTGAATTTAGATATTCATTTAATTGTAATTGCGGTACCTTCAAAATTGATAGCTATTATCTTGTAATCAATTTTTGTCATTATCAGAATTCTGAGTTAATTATTTTTATAACAGTTTTTCATGAAATGGTTGTATATCTAAGTAAATTTTCATTTCAAAAGACAATTGTGTATGAGATAAAATAGAATGAATGATTTGGAATAAATATCGTGAATTAATCCAACTGCGTCCTATTTCAGATTTATGTTATCCCTACGGGTAGGGTAAGTCAGAAGGGTACATTGAAATTGATTGCTAGTGATGGTGAAAATCAGTCTGATGTGCTCCAATTGACAATATATTTTGCTCCGATTCAAATGCAATTGAAGGCTAACACTGGTATTTTATATTGTGCCTATTGTTATAGAGTGGTCAGTAAATTGTAGTAAAAAAGGAATGATTTAACAAGCAAATGACCGAAAAAATGATTTAAACAATAAGTGATAATTACAGGCCTGAAAGTGATCCATCAAACGGCGGGTATAATTTCATCCACTAATTTGTCATTTACAACAAATCTTCCTGGAATACCAATTGAATACACCATCGTTGATCAACCAGAATATGGTGTCGTGCAATGTCGCCACGGATTGGGACAATTTCAAATTTGTTCGACATTTACCCAAAACGATATCGATAGTTCACGTGTACAATATAAACATTCCAGCGCTATGCATCCGTTGCTTGATACCTTCAGTTTTCAGGTATTTATCAAAGGATATAGAACTTATGAAATTTTGTTAGAAAAAATTGACCTGATGATTAGATTTAATTTTTTATGAATTTGAAATATTCTTGGCCTTCGTTATGCTTACTTTTAATTTAAGCTCTTTAAGCTCTAAGAATTCGTTTCGTTCTTATTTAAATTTTAAACATTATATCAACTCTTCATAATATGGTCATTTAGATTCGAGTTGATACCATAACATCAATGATACACGTTTTTCGTATAACATTCATTCCGGTTCACGTTAAAATTTTTAACCGTATCCCATTCCTATTAAATGACACTGATAATTTACCGTTGAAAAGAGAAAATTTGTTTGCTTGGACCTTTCCCAAAAGTTTTTTAACCAACCAACTTGTTTATCATATCATTGAACCGCCAAAATTTGGTACTTTACTACGTCGAATTGAAAACAATCGCAATCGACGAATTGGTGTTTCATCAAATTTCACGCAAAAGGTATTTGTTATATGACACGCAAATTTTATAAAAAAAATTTACCATTTCAATTAATTTCTCTTTTCTTCACTATAGATAAATACATTGTGTATCGCGAAAGTCATTTATTATGCAAATTATTTTGATAATTAAATCGACTTAATTATTTCCATTTAAATTCAAGGTTTAAGTTTTGAAATTTAGTGGAGTGAGGCATTGTTATCTCTTTGCCTTATTCATTATTCATTTATGCCATAGTTCATCAACTCATTTTGCGCACACTTATTTTCTTACAGCGAATATGATGAAAGGAATCAATTTTACTAACTTATTCTGCATATATTCCTCTACTTTGAGACCGAAATACCTCATTACTTGAATAATTAAATTCTAAAATTCAAAATCTTAATTTAAGCAAAAATAATTGAGAACATTTTCATAGACATATCTTTAAGGTTAAGATATAAACGTAATCATTCAAAATTAGGATTGCTAAATTTGCACTGAATTATTGATGGATTGGATCAAATTTGAATATTTATGTTTGACTGAACTTCGTATTGCAGCATATTGACGATAGCGATATTACCTATAAGATGAATTTTATGCAGTATTCCATTGTCAACGATTTCTTCACTTTTCGATTAATTACACCATCAGTTATCTCCGAGGAAATACTTTTCGAGATAACATTTATTCCGGGACGCGATTCGGTACAACTTATTAATCGCACTGTTATTGTTGAAGAAGGCGGTATACAAAAGGTTTATTTTAAAATCAATTTTTTTGAAATTCAAATTAAAATTATGTGATTTATCTTTACAAATTGTTTTTAATTTCGTCGTAATTTTTCAATAATTTATCAGCCGATTGTAATTAATCCGTTCTCCCAAATGAAGATTAGAACTCAGTTTCAATGAAAAAACGTCACGATCAGTATTTGACTAACTGTAGATTTAATTCTTAATTTTGATATGTAAAAGTTCAAACTTTTTTAATTTTAACATCGTCATCTATATTGAAGATAACGAATGAATCGTTATCATTACTAACTCTGGACAGTAGCGATTTTGTATTTACTATCGGTAACGCACCCCTCTATGGCAATATATTGGTGAAAAAAGCAACTGGCAAACAACTGAAGTTGGCTAATGGTGATAATTTTACTACTTCGGATATTAATAACGGCAAGTAAGTGAATTCAAATTTTAGAATAAATAAGTCAAATATTGTTCAAATTGCTCAAGAATACATTACGTTTCAATTTAATGTAATCAGATTTGAGAAATTAAGGGAGATATTATTAGAATTATAATCAGAAGTATAAGCTTAATAAGTTTAACTGGTTATAATCAAGTGTTCAGTGTCTTCTATAAACATATGGATGGAGAAAATCGCATTGACAAAGTACTCCTATTGGCCGAAAGTGTTTATCAGCGTACAAGTCGAGTACCATTCTGGCTAACAATCAGGTTGATCTTGAAAAATGACAATATTCCAAGGCTCGTTGGTAATAATATTATACAAGTATGTTACACCCATATATATTTTCAACAGAACTAAGAAGTTAGTCATTAATGAATATATATTTCATCAAATGGTCGTAGACTCTTGAAGAGATATGTGCTCATTCCCACAACTCATACTCTTTGAATTCTGTCCAAGTTTTCAGAACTCAGTGTGCAGCTTTTAGGAGCTCGATAAGCTTTCGAGAATTTAATACAACATGCATGTATTTAATGAATCTGATTTTTTTAATTTATGGAGATGTTGCTCAATTATGCGTAATTATATGAAAGTTAACAATTATTGCATTTTATACAAATTTAAGGACCAAAATTTCAGATAACGGAACGCGGTGACCGTACACTCCATCCGTCATTGTTGCCTTGGGTAGATGATGATATCGATGCCCAACCATTACAGTTTACTTTCCATGACAATTTTCGATATGCTACTATTTTGTCAAAATTTCCGCCATTTGCACCATTGCATAGTTTCACTCAACGACAAATGCAACACGGTGAAATACTAATAAGACATTTTGGATACAACAAAAAGTTCAAAATGAAGTAAGTGTTGGAATTTGTGGTAAGACTCTAGCACTCATTTATAATTTATTGAAGTTGAAAGAATGAAAAACGCTTTTATTTGTGCCTGTGCTGATTGTTGCATTCATTATAGTTATACTGTATCGGATGGAGTGCATGAAGTACGGTCAGTGGTAGTAATCAATGCATCGGAGCCTTTCATATGGATTCAGAATAGTAATATTACAATTTCGATCACTGACACAACAACAGCATCAATCCTTGTACCATTAACGAATCGCAATCTTTCCGCTATAACCAACATTGATAGGAAGAATTCTGACATTTGGTTTCAAGTTCCAGCCGGAAATTGGATCTTTGTCAGTAATTCCACCAAGAAACTGGTAAAAAATTTCACACAACAGGTAAACTTTTCCGAACATTTTGGAATTCCGAAACAATTGCAAATTTTGAAGGAATTAAATAAGGAGAATTAATTTTAGTTAAGTGAATGTACGAGATGATATTTACAAAAAAACAAAAAAATAGTTTCGCTGCCATCTTTGTGTTATAGGATATCGATGATGGCCGTATTTTGTATCATATCACTACGCCATCATTTGATGATAGCGAAAATGAACAAATAATTACTGCTACGGTTGCGAATCTAACAATAGTAGAGATTTTTAAAGTTTTAAAAACTAAATTGGATAGTCATGGAAGACATCATTTGGAAATGCGCACTTTGACCTCACTGACTGTTCCTTTTTCATCAATTTCGCAAATTGACAAAAGCATTCTGCTAGCGATAGCTTCACACAAACAGCCAAACGAAATCGTTTTTGATGTCATCCGACAGCCAACGCATGGTTCACTAATATTGGAATCACTGAGAGGTAACAAGCGTTGCGAGACTTTCTATGACTGAACTTTGCACTGATATGCAAATGCATCAAATTAACATCAAATTAAATAGTGCATATTTTAAACCACTGCTGTAACTGCAAGCTGTATAATTGAGAAGAATTTTTTCAGGTTTTTTTGAAAGAAAGGAAAAACTTCTTTAAAAGAGCAAACGTAGGGAAACGAAACCAAAAAGTTGTTCCTTTCAGCAGTTAATAACGGACGCACTGTAATGCCAAGTAATTTCTTTGTTTCACGCTTTACGCAAGCACACGTTAATGCTGGACAAGTACAATATTTGCATAATGGTGCACACTCAACACGTGATTCTATTGTTTTCAACGTTTCGGTTGAAAAACAAATTATCGGACCATACACGCTGTTGATCAATATTGTAGATGACAAGGTAATATGAATTTAAAGTTTTTTCCTGTCGCTAATGAAATATGAAATATGATGCTGAAGAACAAGTGAAATTAATATTTCGGCAAAATGATGTGATGTTAAATATCGCCACATATGATATTATTAATGTTTCAAAACTTTACATTTTTATTTTTAGGTCGAATTGTCTGTATCAAACATAACAGTTATATCCGGATCCAACAAGACAATAAACAGCGATGTTTTATATGTTGGAGACCAAGATGATGTAGAATTTCGAATTTTGTCAGCTCCCGAATGTGGATGGATTGTTCGTGATGAATGGAATCTAATTAATATCAGTACAATTAGACAGTTTAATGTTCAAGAACTCACTGATCATCGAATTCATTACGTAAATAATCCATTTAGTCGAGATCAGAGGGACACATTCACGGTAGCGGCATGTACGATAGGAACACAGCAGTGTACCGTACCGAAACAGGTGACTGTTTTGGTACGGTATCATAATTTATACGGTAAATTTTTTCTAACAAAATTGAAGCACGACAAATCGCTGGTATATCTTTGCAGTAAAAGTATGGCCAGGTTTGAGTTATTGCAAATTTTTCTCAAGCGGAGAGGAAAAAGATTATGTTGCAGAACCTGAATTGCTGCGTAACGAAATAATGAAAATATGGAATATGAATAGAGCTCCAATCACCAATAAGCACTTATTTTCACAGGTTCAATCTTTTTTCCTAAAATTTTGCCAACAGTCTTCGGAATAAATGATGGTACGACGGTAATAATATTTGTTTTGAGATAGGCGATAGATAAATCTTACTGTCTCAAGTTAATGTATAAACTAATTAATTAAGGATGACGATACACCTACCGAGCAAGTACGATATCTTATCAATCAACCACTGAATGGATACGTTGCTCATGTGAATATTCCTTCCAAAGCTATTACAAATTTTTCTCAAGCGGAAATTAATAAATCGGAAATAATCTTTGTAAAAAATGAAGGTGTGATTTCTAAAAGAATTTTTTAACTTTTAACTTTATGGCGTCGTTCTTTCATAAACTGTTTAAAACTATAAATTTAAAACAAGCGGTAGTAAACTCGAACTTTTTGATTACTTCAGGTATTACAACAGCTGGTGGTTTTTCATTTCTCGTTAGCGATGGCCTTCATCAAATTGGTCCTGAATGGTTTACAGTTGAAAGTTCACAAGGATTTAAAGTTACCATGGACACAAATAGTCGTCTTATAGTGCCACCCGGAAAATTTCCCGTCGTTATCGGACCTGATTTATTGAAAGTTCAAATTCCAGATGTAGGTTTATTTAAAATATCGGAATTTCGAAAGTGCAATTTTATTCTGAACCACTTGATTTAGAGCTTTGAATATGACAAATGTAACTTTTTGCATATATGGGATTCTTTTGATGATTGTTGTAGGCGAAGCCAAGTGAAATTGTCTATAAGGTGACGAAAGTCCCCCGATACGGAAATTTGCTACTGTCGGGCGTCTCTGTTCAGCAATTCACTCAAGAAGATATCAATCAGCGACGATTAGTCTACAAAGGTGGCAGTAATTTCCTAGATGAGTGGACTAAAAAAGATCAATTTCTGTTCAAAGTCTTCATAAATGATTCAGTGGATGAACCAACGATCGATGAACATCGTTTCAAAATTTCAATTACCTATGCCGCTCTGCCGTCACATCGTTTGCATGAATTCATTCAGCTTCATAGAGTTGTTGTTTCGCGTGGTAAGTTAAGCTATTTGATGCGACGAACTAACAATAATGATAGGTGACAGATGAGTTAGACGGCTAACAACGAGCAGTTAGACTTCTAGGAGAGCGAAGTAAAGAAGCTAAAATTTATTGAAAAATTTATCAAAAAAAGTAATAAATGACTGACAAAATCAAGAAAAATAAACTGAAATAGTAGTAAAGGATAATACTAATATTAATTTGTACGGTATCATGAAATTGGCCCTTTAGGTGGAAGCGTAGCAATTAATGAATCTCATGTCAACTTGGGTATCATACGAAAGCATTTTCACGGCGAACTTCTAGTACAATTTTCACGAAAGCCACGATATGGTCAGTTGGATGTATTAAATAGCATTGTCAAAAAAACTACGCTGATGAAACTTCTTGATCTGTTAACTGGAAGATCACTGATTTATCGACATCAAAAGACCGAAACATTGGTGCCCGATGAAATTTTATTTTATATCTTATCTAAAAATGATGTTAATCGTCGAACAAATCGTTTGCGGGTAATACTGCCAGTGACAGTGATACCACAAAAAGATCCATTCATAAAGGTAACAGATTTTTAAATTCATTTCATCTTTGTTAATAGGAACTTAATTTGGCTATTATACGCAGTTATTGCAATGCGCTTCACTTCCAGATTAAAAAATTTCCGGATCGAATCAAATTAACCGCTGGGAATAATTATTCTCTGTCACCGGAGGTATTTCAGGCTGCGCATCCAGAGATGAAACCAACTGATTTAGAATATCGATTACTTCAGGTAGGACTCGGAACTCCTTCAGGAATTTCTGCTGTTGCTTGTATTGGCTCTGTGAAAACTGAATATAAAGTATTCTCTCTTTCTGGATTTAATGTTGTCAATGAAAAATGAAATTTCAGACAGGAAGTAATGGAGTGAAATTTTTGATGAGGAGTGGAATAACAAGACTGTTTACTCAAGATGATGTAAACAATGGTAAAATTCAACTTTCCCATCAGCAACAACTCGATGTCCATGACAACATCGATGTTGTCGTCTTTCAGGTTGTTTTAAAATTTATTGCTTATCATCCTAGTCTGTTACTTTGATGTCTGCAAATAATTTTTCAAAATTATACTAACTTTTTGAGCGAATGATCTTTAACATCCATGTACATCCAGTTTCATCGTTAAGATAGTTTGGAAGTTCAGAAACCAAATATTTTATCTATCATTTCAAAATAAGCAACAATCACTCGACCTGAGGCATAACCTCGAATTAAAATGTCAAAATATGTTAGAAATTTCTATGATGTGGACAAAATGTAAAATCTAGACAAAATCAAGCAAAATAGGGAAAATCTATTAGGATCGGTGAGTGTGAAGCCTTAATCTTCTAAAATACTATTTCTTAACTGTTGTCATGATAGCTTGAATTAATTATTATTTTAAAAAAAAATCCCAGTATGATGGTTTTTAGAAAATTCGGTATAATATGCTTTATTAATTACTACATACCATTTCTATTTCTTTTAAAAATTAAATTATTTTGGGTTGGCAGTCATATAAGAGCGCTTATTATTGATATATTACCGTTATCATTTTCGCTCGAAAATCATTCCGATGTTGAATATACTCAAGGAAAAACTTACGTGCTTTTGAACAGGTAATATTTCCAAGGAATGATTGGTTACCATCCAACTAAAAGATTAATTAGCAGTACTGATGAGCAGATAAGAATGTGATAAATAGTTAACTGAACGCTACTTTTCTGACAGATACAAGAGGAAGGTATGAAACAAGGAACTCAACAAGTTTTGGTGAAAATGATTAAGCTTTTAAGAAATCTGTACTATCAATTTTTCCCAGAACTCAAAATTAAGTGATTTCAAAAGCATCTGGCGCCATAGCAGGAAAGAAGAAATTCAGGAGATGCAATACATTTTTGCACGGCTAATTAATGATAATCAGAAGTTAACTTTCTACAGAACTCATTTTGGTGCTAAGTCAAACGGCGATCGATCTAAAATTATGTATAAAATAACGAAATCACCAGAAAATGGTACATTGTATTGGGTAGAGGGTGAGAAGGAAGCAAATACATTCACGCAACGTGATATCGATGAAGAACGTGTACTTTACGCGCAACTTAATATGCAAGCATTTCAGGTTGGTATAAAAAAAAATAATTTATAGGACAAATTTTAAAATGCATTACTTTATATGGTATTATGTAAATCCTTACACAAAATATTTCATATCTAAATGACAAAATTGAAATCCATGCTGAATTTTAAAAGAAATTTTATTGCTGATTAAGAAGTTTGAAATTTGTCGTTTGCTGTTTTTCATTAGTTTTTCTGAATTTGACAATTAGTTCAACTTAAAATTTTTATTGCACTTAATGAATTAGCTTGGCAAGATAAAGTTGATAGAGTATTTCAGGATCGATTCGAATTTAAGGTTGAAAATGAATTAAATGAAACAATTCAAAGCACTTCATACGTGCGTGTACTTCCTATACTAAATCCACAAACCCTTGTTGCTGATGGAAATTCAGTTGCACTTATTACTGATACACATTTGAACGCTTCTATTTTGCAGGTGACTTTTGAGTGAAAAGAGAAAATTTCAGGTGACTTTTGAGTGAAAAGAGAAAATTTCGACTGATTATTAGATTTTAAGTTAGAGTTGAAGAAGAATAGGTTGTTACCTTTTTGCAGGGCTCAACTCCACGTTTCTTCGTTACGGAATCACCACGTTTTGGACGTTTTGTATTAAGTACTAATGTTGATCAATCCGTGGAATTCTTCACTTATAATGATATCGTAAATAATGGTTTATTTTACGTACCCAACCAAACCGATGTTATGATACTCGATTTTGCTGAATTAGAACTAAACGCCGATGAGATTCAACCAGCTAGATTCAGGTTTAATTTGAGCTATTAATTCGAAAATTTCATGAACTTATAAATATTTTTATCCATCATACCTTTTTATTCTATTAATTTTGGATCTTAAAATTCAGCAAAATTGGTTTTTGGTTTTAAGATTCGATTCAAGTAACGATCTTTAAATTTTCTCCAGATTTGACATCGAAATCTATCCATCTATTATAATTAATTACATTTCTTCAACTGATACTACTGCGAATCGCTCGGTATCACCTGATTTATCCCACTCATCTATAGTACCAATCAACGAATTTATAAATTATTATGTTCTAATCATTCTGTTTGCACTTATCATTGGCCTGATCACAATTGTCATCATATTCCGACGACATTCAAGCCATCTAAAGCAAATACGTGTAGTGAATGCACAGAAAAGACGTGAATTAAATGCAAAAACGAAAGCTGATCTCGAAAAGAAGTCTGATTTGCTGAGTACTACGGTATGTATGCTAAAAAATATTTATTGTTATTACAATTAAAAATTTTTTTTGTTGAACAATACAATCTTTAAGTTTCATTTCATATTTCCAAATTAAGCATTAAGCACTTAATTCGAAGAATATGGAATGAATAGTAGTGTTTTCCTGTTTTCCTGATTCATTCTCATCTCCAATTCGGTGAATTAATGCAATATTTCTACAAATTTAATTAATCAAAATATTCAATTTATAAATTAAAATTGGCTTATAACATTAACTTTTTTACAATAAGTTAATGTTTTCAAAGTCATTTTTACATCAATACTAATACTTTTCACCCTCCTTTTTTACTTATAAATTAGGGAAATTTTTCAGACGCGATCCGTTGTAATTACAACAATACTAATTGACTTGACATCCTCATTTTCTAATATTTTACGTGAAGAAATGTCAACCAAAAAAAGGTCATTACTGAGGCAGAGTGACCTTCACCATAGAAATAATAGCTTTATTAATTACGACGATATTTTAAATGATTCGAAATGTTAAAATGTCAAAATTTGTTCCAATTTTTTACGAAGTTCATCATTAGCATGGATTAATTTAGTTAGTCTAAATAATCTATAGAATTCTTTTACATTTTAATTTTTATAACACTTATAACAGGTCTACGCTACGATAGGACGCAATCGTTTCGAGCCCTCCGAGAAACGGTCTGAGCGTTCGCTACAAACATTCGACGGTTCAAAACATCATGCATCTTTGACTCCGATACCAACATCTCAACGAACTCAGTCCAGACCGCTTTCCGGTGAATCGTTGAATTATCGGGCTTTAAATGTCCGAAATACTTCGGAATTGAATAGATCTAAGCCTGATCAATATCATTCAACGAGATTGAAAGATAATCAATATTGGGTATAACTAGCAACAGCTCATCTCTTCACTTCTTCATTATGTTTCATACTGTCCATTCATCACAGAATATTAATAATATCAATTCGAAAACTAAAAGTCGAGAATTCTATGAGTCTTTATATCTCCTAAAAACCCAAAGAACTTTTCGGATTCAGTTTTCTGTTTCGCAAGGAATAATTCAATGAAGCAATAGTCGTAAGAAAAAAGCTTCTGCTTCCTTCACTAAAGTGTTCGAGGCATCACAGTGGCAACATTACGAATCGATGATGCTTCTGAAAGCGGAAGACAACATTAAATTCAATTTTAGAATTTAATTCCTGTTAGATGGACTCTCAATATTTACAAGTTTACAATTTCTGAAAACAAACAAATTTATCGGTTAGAATTAGATTTGAATAAAAATTTCAAGTTTTATCAGTTATCTGGGTATCACTTCCTTTAGATGCGGTAGATGAGAAAAATTGCCTTTACCGTAGTTTTCATGAACTACAAATTTATTACGATCGGTTTAGTTGTGAAAATTATAATTCGAAATGGAACATAGACGGGTTTAAATTAAAATGTGTTGAAGCCATTTCTTTTATTTTGGTTAACCTTTTTGGATAATCTTTTTTGGATTTTTTGGAAGCTGATTTCACAGAATTTGCAAAGATTGCAAATTATCTCAGATGAAAATTTCTTTCCAAAACTTTAAGGTTTGAGAAGAAAATATTTCCTGCAAAAATGGATTAAAATTTTCAATATTTAATGAATGTTTCCTGACAGTTAAATCTGCATTGACCGCTATTATTTACTAAAAGAAAAAAGATTATAATTGAGATAAAATAACGACTGTTATCGAAATAATGACCATATTGGTCAAACATTGGATATCTCATCCTCTTCTTACTTCTTCTTCCATTTGATTCAAAATATAAGTCTGGATTGTGTGCTTCCTTCAAAATGGTGAAACTCTACCATCAACTTAGTACTGATCAGGGGAATTGAATCCAAGTGTTTCAACGGTTTGTCTAATTAGATAGGTGAAAAAAGCCTTTAAAAGGTCTGTCAGAAATCAAGCTCATTTTCTATGGACAAGAAGATAAGCCAATCTTTAGAATATATAATTTTAGCGTTTACTTTATAGTAGTTGCAATTTATTCACAGTGTTACGAATTTTCCTCACTTTGGTATAAGAGTTTTTCCGTTTCTTGATTGGAGGGGCAGCAAAGTTATTTAGAGAAGCATTAAAACCTACTGAAATGAAATGCGGGATTCGGAATAAATCAGGGAAAGTTTGTTCGGAGAGGAGAGGGAGAAAGAGGGTTGCAACGATGGTATTTCATTGATTGTAACGATGGTATTTCACCGTATCTCAGAAACAAAAGCAAAATTTGTTACAAATTTTAAACTTTCGTCCTTATTTTCTAAAAAAATTTTCTTGATAATCAGTAAGAGGCTATTATCCGAATATATGATTTGTTGCATGATTTCATTCCTTGTGAAAAATTTCCAATGCCTGTCTGCTTGCCGAAGTACATTTAGTTTGCTACCACTCATTTTGAAAGACAAACATAAAACGCGATCATACACAGTTTCGTTCCATTTTATGTGATCGAGATTAAAGCTAAATCATTTTGACAGCAAATAATAGAGGAAATTCTCCATGCGAAATTTTATTAAGTTGATTTACGCTAATATTCTGACCTTACAAATAAAAAATTCGATGATGTTTCCAGAAATTAGCATTTCCCAAACATTTTGCTTAATAATTCGCGTTTGCTTAATGATCAATTGATAACTGGATGGATTATCGAGATCACTACGATATCGATTCTACGCTGCGTATGTAATTATTGGATTGTTGAAATTTGACTTTGGCGAGAAAAATCCTTCTGAATAGGTTTTGTAGTTGAGTAATAGTTTTATTAGCTGACAAACTTCGATAACCCTCACTTTGATGAACCGATTCTGATTGTATTTGTTTATGCGGTAAACTATGCATGTCAACAAGTACTTTCTTTTAACGATAGGTTCCGTAGAATATAATTAAAAATTTGGTAAAAAAAATTAGATAAATAATGTCAAATGTGATAAGCATTAAACAAATATGACATATACACTGAATGATAAATATATGATAAACATATGAGAAAACATTTGAGTGTCTAATTTTGTGTAAAATATGGAAAATGAAAGATATCGTCTATAATCGATAAAACTTATTTCATTGGTAGAAGATTTGCCAAAGAAAAAATCCCTTAAACAAAACAATTCTTACTAAAAAACAATTAATGAACAACAAAAATTGAGGCCATTACATTCGTAATTTGTTTTCTCATTAATTATTAACAATTCAGACAAAAGAAGAAAAGTTCGAAAGGTAAATAATAATTTTCCACTTATCACATTCACTTCTTTTTTGATTGAAATCAATTAGAATAGGTCGAATTGACAAAAATGATTTTTGTTATGATCGGAAAATATTTTTACACAATTTTCTCTTTTTAAATTTAGAAATAGAATTGAGAATCTCTTTGGAATTTATCATTTATAATCAAAAACATTTGATTTTTTTTTGATTTTACTAATTCATAACGTTGTTGGAAACTGAATCACTTAAATTATAATTCATATTTTATAAGACATATATAGTAAAATCGTTATACACAGTTTTCCATACCTGAATTTAAGCTTTCATTTTTTTTCTTCTGAAGAAAATTCCTGCTACTCGATAAGCGATTTACAATGCCAGCAGGATATTTCAATACTTTAAATATCTAATCTCGATTTCAGGGTACATTTCTTTATTATTGATGAATTGAAATGCAGAAATACGATTAAACATTTCGTCATATGAAAATTACAGTGAGACAGAACGGATTCAAAAGGATTTCAACTTGGTAAACTGCGAAGTGAACTTTTTTCCGGGAGAATTTCTTTCTAATATCTAAATAAAAAGATTTCTCAAAAAATTTCGATGTAAATATTACTTTAAGCTTGTAAACACTATTGGACCAGTTGTCGATGTGTTTCATTTGTCATGAAGATTCGATGATAAGTATACTTAAAATGACAGAAAATTACTTCGTACCGTTCTTATTTATTTTTCAAACTTTGTTTGATGGCAAATTGAAATATCTTCTTTCCACCACTGGCAGGTAAGTTCAGGAAGTTACGATGGCTTTTAGCAAAGCAATAGATGGGCAATTTTCATAAACAAAATGCTTCCGAGTAATAAAAGCTCTACATTTTGATTTTTCTTTTCTATTAAATTATTTTCTATCTTCTTTAATTTTTTTCAAATTTCTCTGCAATTTAATAAAAATGATTAATTTGGACGATTGCCTCTCTCACCAATGTAAATTTTGCAATGATTCAAATTTGGAATATTGAGAATTTACAATTTTTTTCTACCGAAGCTTAAATGTTGAATGTGTGAGATAACGAATTCTCCCGAGTTTGCTGCATCAACCAAAGTACGCATTTTAACAGTCATTATCGCATCTTTGTTTTACTTTTTAATCAAACAGAAATTCAAAAATTTACGTCCTTCTCAAATTTATATTTATGTTCAATTAAGGTGATTAGCTGCTAACAGCAAAGAAACAAACTGTTTTAATTTGATGATTCAAAAAGAAACATTCATATATTCTCTCAGAACGGAAAGTACTGTATCAGAATATTAGGAATACAATCACTTTGACTGGAAAGAGAGATATGTACATTAATAATATCCATAAATTTTGTCGATATGGTTAAACCGAAGAAGTAAGCAGGTAAGTTCAAAAAAATGTCCTCAATTTTATTAAATATTTTGTCAATTCGAAGCTCGAAAAAGATAAACTATGAGAAGTCATTTCGGTGTTTCTCCCATTTAAATTAGTTACACCCGCGGAGAAGAGTTTTTAATCGTTGATTCACAGACTAACTATTTTATAGAATTTTAAATATTTGAAAGTAGACACTTCGATTGATAGTCTAAATTTCAATGGTTTTTTCTATTATTCCACTGAGAAAGCAACAGATTACTCTTTCTTTCACTCCATTTCAATGAATCAGAGAGACTGAGAGCTTAATAGCTTTGTGTGTGCATATGTAATATAATATAAATGAGCACTGATTTCATCTCACAACATATTGCTGACAGTTTGCTGATCGCAACCGGAATAGAAAAATGATAACAACGACAGTCGCATTTGCATATCTTTTCATTGTGTCACTCTGCGCACCGCCATCGGTAATTTCCTTTTTTTTGCAGAAAGTAACTCTATTTTAAACATCATATCTCAATAAATAAAAGGATCTTTTCATTTTCAGGTGCGATTGTATTTGTCGGATAAAATTGACTCAAATATTTTGCAATGGTGAACGGATAGAAAATAATACTCTTGCTATCTAAAATTAAATTCAAACATAAGAATGAATCTCGAGTACTACTCTTGCCATCTAACAGGCTCAACTTAACTGATAATTGTCATTCCTCTTATAGTGATACTCTCCGGTCCTTCAAAAACCACTTTAATGCGAAATGAAGCTTTAATTACCATTCTTCAGAAGATAATATCGAACAGAGTAGGAATGGAAGTCCATTCCTCTGAAGATGATACGATCGAGGGACATAACAGCACTGTGTTCCTCGTTGTGAACAAGGGTTGGATTCGCAGAATTTTCTTCATCGAAGGGGAGACGCAAGACAAAGGATTCTTCATATGGAACTCCGCGAAGCTTCTCTCCAACGCCTCCTCACATTCTGCTTGTGACTCTATTACTGATGGTGTTTAGTTTCTTTTTATCTTAGAAATTCTTTTAATTTCCTGTAATAATCAATCCATTCAAATCATCTGATAAGTTAAGAAGTGCACTAATTCATTGGAAAAACTTCTGCTTACAGCACATGTCATACTAATAATTCTTCGAAATTTCCGTGACCTTTTGATAAATCTTACAATAAATGTGAATCGAGCAGATTTTAGAAATTGGGACCCACTTGTAATGGTTCAATGAATTTCAGAAAAATGCAATGAATTTCAGAATTTTAAAGCATGAGAGCAAAACCAGGCCAAGGAAGATACTGTGGATATTTGCTATCGATTTATGTGACAAGGTAATGAATTTAAATTAGGGAGAAATATAGAAATGATCACGTAGCAGTAGTTGTTAGAAAACCGACGGAAGCTATATCCTTCTTTGTATAAAGCATTTTTAATTGAAGGTATCAATTATACAAACATTAAGTACAATGTTTTCCCACATTCATATGTTAACGAATTTGAATGTAACATGTAAATTTCGATCTTCATTTTTTTATAAGCCAAACCCACTTATCTACAATATATAAAAGTCCTCGTTAACCACTGATTCCAACTTTAAATCTGCACCATCTATATTATAATTCATTCTTTTTCTGAATCTCGTAATTACTATTCTGTATTTGGTTATTTGTATTTGGTTACTAACAACAATACAACTTGCAACGCAGTTGTATTCGATTCAAAATACGTATTTTCTTTCCTCACTACACTAACTTATTCACCAACTTAATCCCAATCTTTTGCGACAGTAGTTGAAGTTAACGTACACGCTGACTTTTCACGAGAAAGAATGTTAGCTGTGAGCGGAAAACTGCGGGAAATAACAAGTGTGCTTCATATAGTTAATTAGCGAATTACCAGGAGATGTTTGTGCTAAGATGATAGAGCCACTTAAATTTAATTCAGTTAGTTCGATTTGCTTTGGAGAAAACCTCACGCAAAATTTTCTTCTTTAAGGCATATTCATCTCCCAATTTGCCTTCGAAGTGCATCTCATGAAAAGAAACAAAGAGCAATACTGAACAGCAACGTTTGCATGCATCAAAAATGAACTCTGAATTGGTCAAAACATATTTAGCAGTGTCAAACATATCAACAGATGATGAAATGTGACCAATTAACAAATTGTATATCAAGGAAGGAGCTAGTTGGCAAAAGATAATAATCGAAAAATGAATTCGTCTCGCTTCCCTGAAGTATTTTAGCTTCCTACCAAAATTTTCTTATTCTTATGTTGTGGACATCAGGTGAAGTATTAACTAGTATATGTCTGAGACGGGAACGGTAAAAAGTGAGAGTAAAAAGTGGCAAAGAGTTTGGAGAAGTGCATCCTTCTTCTCATTTCAGGATGAATGTGTTTCTGTATTGAATAACTGGGCCAATTATAATTATTCCATTGGTCAGTGATATATATATATATATCAACTTAGGCCTATTTAATCCAAAATACTTGTTCACACTTAACGGCAGGTATTTCTTTGTCACAGCAATCGTCTGAGCGAAGAAAAAAACGATGATTGAAATAAAGAAGTCGGATAATCGGTTATGACACTCTGAGAATTTAAAAATTTTAACTCGAGGAATTGAAACTCAGTTTTCCATAATTCAAGCGGACTTGCAATTTCTAATAATTGGAATAGAAAATGAAGCCAATAAGAAGTCAGCATTCCAAATTTCAATTTTGTTATTTAAAAAACCCAAAACACTAGTTGATGCCTTTATTGTTAAAATGGGAAAGTCTCTTCATTAAGTCTTTGATAATCAAACTATAATCCGACTATAACAGTATAGTAGATTAATTTCCCCTTGAAAATCCATGTGTGCTTTTCCCATAATGAGTCTCATGACAGAATGGCTCTTACAAAATATAATACATTTATGTAAAGAAGAATGAATTAGATTTAAATAGTTGCATATCACTTAGCATTATGAGAATTTCACCGAAAAATGTTTCTCATGGACCGCCTATGCTGTTAACTAGGTGGACGTCTTGGTGGTCCTCGTGAGCGGGACTTGGTTACATTCTTTAAAGTGTTGAAGATTGGAGGAGCATTGAGATCGAGCGCATACTCTTCCTGGGGTTCTTCCTCGATCAACAATGGCGAATTATTGCACTCCTCGAACGATGAAAGATCCTCCAATGAAGCTACCGGCGCCATTGGTGGCAATTCTTGAATGAGCTTTTCTCTGAAAAAAATTTCTTTCATTTATTCATTGCAGATGAACTGAACAAACACTATGAATATTCAGTATTTTTTAAAAGGAAACAATTATTTTCTCAAAACAACAATCATTCAAACATTCCACATTTAAAAATATTGGTCAAAAATACAAATGTGAAAAACCCTTACTTTTCGCTATCCAAAAATTCCAACTGTTCCACAAATAACTGGCGAGCAGTTTCGAAATGTTCACTTGAAGTTTGAATTTCTTTCTCCATTGAATCTTTGTGCTCATCGATTAAGCGCAAATTCTCAACGATCTGCAAAGACCCAGGACAGGTAAAAGATCAAGAATTAAATGAAGAAGATAGAGGTATGGGTGAAAAGTGAAATAAGAATGGTGCTACATTCGTCTTTCACTTATTCAAATCCTTTAAATATACTTTTTCACCAGCAGTTTCAAGTGAAACAATTTCAGTTAACGTTGAGCGGAATTGCCGTAATTTCTCTTCGATTAAAGCTTGTACACAGACAGCCTGTCGTTCAACGTCTCGTAGTTGATCTTGCGCACGCAATGTTTGATTGGTACGCAAAATACATGGTGCAAAGATAAGTGCCAAATTCGCAGCACCCATTTTGTTTACTGATTCCTGAAAACATTTCTTAGGATAACTGGTTTCTAAATGAATAAATGACCAGCAGTGTCTATGGTACTCAAGCCAATACATTAACGAAGTGCGGTACAAGAGGTGAAATTTAATTGTAACATTGCCGGGCAGTCGCTACTGGTTTTAATTAATTGACATTTTGAAATTTCATTAGTTGCCAAAATAAGGCTTAAAATTATATGGTCATTTGTATAATGATTCCTCATTTCACTACTCAATTGCAGAAATTAGAAACTGTAAATTAAAAAATGCAATTAACTGAAATCTGGAATTTTGAAAATAATTCATAACCAGAAGAGCAGAAGCACCACCGCTATATCGATAAGCTTATGAGAGGTGGTGGAAAGTTGTTGATTAAATAATATTAACTTACCTGATTAGCAACACGTGCCAAATGATATAGCAATCGATCCAAAACGCTTTTGTTACATTTTGGTAACAATTCTACTATTACACTCAAACATCTTATTCGTTCAGCACTTTCTTGTACTTCTACAATGAGCAGATTTTCAAGTTGTAAAATTTTAAACTAAATGAAAAGCGAATGAAATTGTTATTATATATCAACAAAAAAGATTTTTTACCTGAAGCATTCAGAAAATTCTCGTAGAGATCGTAAGTAATAAGAGGTTCCGGAAGCTCACGGAAAAACGATTTCACTAAAGTTGTTATGACATGCGTCGAGACGTCATCAAACGATAGCGTCTCCAATTCTGAAAATTTATCCCCTTACAGTGAAATTTATTTATAATGGGAATTATTTAAGTCTTTCAAATCCTGCTCGTCATAGTTTCATAAAATACAATGATAGCATGTAATAATCCTTCTAAACTAGCTAAATGCTAGACTGCAAAGAATTACAAAATATTGAAGTTTAACTTTCTTGGTAGAAATTAGTCTCTTTAGCCTTAACACCACTTTCACAAACAATCGGAAATGTACTACCTGCATTTTCAATTGTTCGACGTACATTACGTACTTGTCCAATTGCCGCGCTTTTCCTATAAATTCCTTCAACAAAAAGACCTTTCAATTCAATGGCCATAAAGAGTTTGTCGATAACAATTGGGACTGTTTCTTGGTCATCCATAAGGCTGCTTAAATTAGCGCCAAAAAACCGTCCACCCGATTGCAAATTCTGTAAGATTTGTTTTCAATAAATTTAATGAGAGAAATGCAAGAAGTTTAAAACCATCTTGCATTTTTGTATTGACTTATTTATTCGGTTTGTCCCACCTTGACATATATGGCTCAAATTATTTCGATATTGTCGGGCTACAGCAATCATGACTTGATTATATTTCTATTGTAACGAAAGCATTATGGATATATTCAAACATGCAACGACACTTGTAAAATATGAATGACAAAATAAATCGGATATATTACTTATCCATGAGAAAACAAATATTCGAGGAGGGGATGGCATAGACCATGCACGCTCGTTCGTTTACAAGGAGGATTATGTGAAGGTAAGAATGGAAATAATTCCTGAAGATTGACCAATTCAATCTTTGTTCGTTTTTAAGAGAAAGTTTTGGCCCGTCGCTTTCATTTAAGCATCAATCGGAAGCATTCCTTTATTTCATTCCGACCATTTTTCCTACATATTTTACACCGCCCTTTCCTCCGCCTGCTACAATTGAAAATATTGAAAAAAACAAAAATGAAAATGAAATTACTGTTTGCTGTAACGATTGCGAACAACTTGTTGCAATCTTTGTATGACATTTCTTATGACAGCTTATGCGGCACGCTTTACAAATGAAAATCTTTTCAGCATGCCACATGAACAAATTACACATTTCACAATACGTTGGCACGTGAACATATTCTAATTTGAATCGATGACCATTATATGACTGAAATTAATGATTTCGCTACTTTTTTCACATTTCCGGTTATTACAACACATATTTTTTCCTGTTTTGTTTATATATGAAAGAATGAAAAGTGGAAAGCAAATAGTTAATATGAAACAAAATCGTAGAGAAAATTCCTGAAATATAAATATTTATTTTATGTGGAAGTTGTAATGGTATAACAATAAACTCACCACCGTTGCATCTGATTTTCTTCGTTTCTTGCGAACATTCTGCAATGGAAGATAATTTTATATTTATCAGTGATTTAATGAAAAGGAATTGATTCCTTACATATTTGATAAATAAACAATAAAAGATATTTTGATAAAACGATTACTAAGATAATTGGATCAACCGTACAATAGACATCCGGCACAGAATATCTTCCTCATCTCTTTGGGAAAAACTTTATGGTGCCAACTATCAAAACTTCCATTGATTAAACTTTTTTTTACAAGACATGTCTCAATCATTAGTTTTTCAAATAATATGAAGTGAATTGTTAGTAAGTTAAAATGTTCTTGAATAATTCACATTTCGAGTTCTTCAAGCGATACCTGATATATGCAGCAGAGAATCAGTTACAAGCAGATCAGTTACGAAGGTAAGTCATAATTAGTTCAGACAAACTGTTTTTCAACTTTTTTCCACAGATATGCGACTTCCTTTTTTCATCGTCTTACAATCCTCGTCTTCTGGCTGGAGCTCTGTCATGTAATGTTATGTTATTCACAGCAAATTTGACTATTTTAAAAATGCAACATGCACACTTGGTTTCTTTCGGAAAATTCTGGAAAGAGCTGCAGTCGAGCAGATCGATCTAACCATATATTTTGGGATATCACTATGAATGCTGCAATGTTTATGACAATCACTAATTTTAAGTTAACAAAGGCAATAAAACACGAGTATTAATCGAATTAAACTTGACCAGCACTAAAATGAGAAAAAGTGATCGTTGTATCACAAAAAGAAAAACGTAACAATAATTGAGATATCATCACCTCAAGGACGTTCGATTTTTTGCTTGATTTCTTCATTTTTGTTTGCTCGTGCAGGAATTCATTAAGAAATCCGCGAAATGCATTTACACCGAGAGTGGTGGGAAATGTCACCTGTAACGTAAATCACATTGGGTGAATCCATTAAGGTGAAAACAATAAAAAAAATAATAACGAAAATTGTGTGATTCAATGGATGTCTCGGATTAAAGAATCTCAGTCTAACCACTTCATGGATCTGTTAATCATCAGTGAAATAAAAGAATATTTTACAACGAATATTTTCTAATATTAAAACGGTAAAATGTTCCATAAAAGACGATGATTAATATCATTTGTTATGCTACGATTTTGTTTGAATGGCTTATTACAATTCCGAAATTTAAGTAATTCGAAATCGGGATATACTGTAATCATAATAAGAATGAGCATGGTATAATTCAGTTCACTCTTTCTTTATCTTACGATTTAACGATGATGATAGAGATTCTGACATTTATACAATGTTATATACCTGTTCTTGAGCTGAAACTTTAGTCAGCGAACCTTCGAAAATAGTGATGAGATCGTGATACTTCAGCATCGTTTTGTTTTCCTGAAAAGAAAGAAGAAAAAGGCCAATGGAAATAAAAGGTCGATAGAACAGTGATATATAGTCCCACAAAGAATGATACCTTTTTCTACTTATTTTTACGAATAATTACGAAAAAAGTTGTTTATTAACTAAAATTTAAATTTGATTTCTCTGATCTCTAACTTCTCCATTTTTGATGTGATTACTCCCACGTAGAAGGTTATTTATTCATTCCGATTCTTTATTTCGAGTTTTAGTAATGCAATTCAATTCTTTCCGAGATAATCGTATGGATGTCAGAAAGTGGAAGACAGTATTGCGATAATCAAGTCGATAATCAAGGTATCGCAAACTAATCAGTTTATTTATCCAACAGGTAGTGAACGTGTAATAAAATTTTCAGTTAGAGTAGTTCTTAATTTCTTAGTAGATAAAAATGAGAGTAAATTGAAATGGAAGAAAGGTAATATATATGGTGATAGACGTACACTGACTACCGCTTCATAGCCAATAATTTCCATGTGAAATTCCTTGAAGGCTTTCTTGAAAATTGCGTCAATTCGTGTGTCCCTTTTCTTCTTATTACTTTCCAATTTCATTAGTTTTTTGAAAATGAATACATTGAACTGTCTGAGATCGCTGTAACTTTCAATAATCATATCGCTCGGATCAGTCTAAAATTGTTTTAATTAGCAAAATTAAAAACAATCTCGAATCTTCGAAAAGCCTTCTGTTTGTTACTTGCAAATTTCGAAAGACCGAAGTATTAAGTATATCATGAAACTTATCTGACAGACAATCGCTTTGATTAACACACCTGCTGTTTGGCTTTATGCAGACTGAAAGATTTGGCAGGGTGAAAAACGAGTGGTGCAAATGATTGCTTCGGCAGCCAAGATGGTCTGGAAATAAACCAGTAAAACTATGTGTCTTTCAAATTTGCAAATGCATAATAAAGCAAATCAAGTGAGTCTTTGAATGATGGCATATCAAAAGTGCTCGGAAGTACGAGATTCCGGATTCCCGTTTCGGTCCAATTATTTAATGGTTATCAACAATTCTGTTCATTTAACATTACCCTGCCAAAATATAGCAATGCATGTTTGAAACTGCCCAGAGTTTCCTTAGTCCTGCTTCTCGTATTGTCCACCTCTGGTCAAGCTCGCATTGGTTTGGGATAAATGTCCACCATTAGATATTAAACAGGAATTCCCAATTTAGTTTAAATGAAAGACATCTCCATTTTAAAAGCTTGAAAATTTCTTCACTTTGTTTCCCACTCCTTTTTCGGCGGCATGTCATTCGGACGAAACGAGTGAGTCATTACGTGACAAGGAATATTCGACGCGAACGAGGAGCATTCTTTGTGAAATGATAGTTTACATTCTGCAATTAACGCTTACACTTATATGTTGTAGAGGACGGTTTAAAAAATTGTAAATTGATAAAATCATTTTAATTTCAATTTAAATTGGAAATATTTATAAATTTCGAAATTATGACACAACATGACAGAATAGAATTTTAATTTAAAAACATCCGCTTCAATCTGTTCAGATTAAATTCATTTCAAACGTGCAGTTGAAATTATTTCTTCAAAGATTCATATTTTTATTGTTTAATTGACGTGCAGACAAATTCCTAAAATCTGCCCGCGAACTGTTTCCCTATTTGGAAATGATTAATTAGCACATGGGAAAGAATAGAGGAAATACCTGTGCACTTGTTCCCTTTTACCAGTATACCTGTGAAATTCTTATTGCACAATACACAAGTTTCATTACGATGCAATCGACTGAGTTTCAAATTATGTTGCGTTACCACTGAGACAGGTGCTTTAGTTGCTTCGACCAGTGTCGTGCTATAAGGTGAAAATGGCGATGGGAAGTTACAAACGTCATCACTTATCAATTCTGTGCTTTCCGTTAAAATAAGACAAGAAAATCAGAGTTAAATCATTATTCAAAACATCAGAAAGACATGTCAAATTATTTGATGTCAGAAAGACATATCAAATCGTTTAATCTATTCGTTCATATTTGATATTCGATTGGTAAATAATGTCAGATAGCATGAAATATTATCATGCCAAAATTTTAAAAACAGGAAAAAGAATCTTTTGGATCAAAAAATAATTAATGAATGTAAAATAGTACTACTGCATGTATACCTTGCAGTAAGCGAGTCTCGACTTTCACCAATACTTAAGATACTGTCACTATGTCGTGATAAAAACGCTTTCAAGTGCTTCTTAGCTCGCATGAAAGCCATCTTTCTACTTTTGCTCTTACTTTCCGGACTCTGAAACTTTACTGTTAACAATAAAACAAAAGAAATCCTTGCAAATACGATTCCAAAGATTTTGGTATATAAATGCAATGCCTATATGACGAAAATGCAAAGTTAGACTATTTTCTGTGGTTGGTCGTTAAGATTTTATTTCCGTCTAAACTGCGCTACCGGTGAAGACATCAATTTTTAGCATACCGAGGTAAATATTTAATCAGAATTAAATGTCTGCATCTAGCAAGGTATATTATTTTGAACGGACAACATTTATGGTGGAGAAGTGTAGCAAAGAAATGCAGCTATTGACTGTGAAAATAGCAAAAAGTGAGATAAAAGTTGGTCAAGTGAATCAATCTCCTAATTTATTGCTTACCGAAAGTATCATATGTTCAGAAATTGAAATGCGATCGGTCTCTGTGCTTGCAGCTCTTCGCAACATTTTCGTCTGTAAAATCGAATGAAATTGATATTTTATAGAATTCAATTTGGAATTCTCTTCAAAATGGAAGCCATAAGGAATAACAAATGGCAAAGCTAAACTTCTGAGCAGTGGCAGTTTTCTGAGAAGTTTTGAAGAAAAATATATTTGCTCTGTTATATAATCACAAAAAGAATGTTTCCAAATCACCGGTGACTATTATCGAATGTAAAAGTGTAAATCGTGAAAATAAGAATTGTCAAATGTTTCTGCTCGATTCTTAAATCTTTTTTCTACATGTTGGCTCGAATGTCCAATTATTCACATAATTGCATTTCTTACGATTATATGGGATAGAAAAACCTTTTTCGTTGTTCCAGTTGATGCTGAACTTATCCGCCTTTTGAAAATTGTTGAATCTCGAGGTACCCTAGAAAATAAATAATTGTAAAGTAGGTGAAGTTTCTGTAATTCTTGTAAAAAATCAACCGATGGCATATACTGAAGGGAAATTTCATTTACACTTTATTCTGGAGCTAAGGATGTAACAATGAGGAAATTATTAAATTTAATGTATCCGCATGATATAATGTCACTGTCAATCCAAATGTAAAAGGTCAAAGGATTGTTTCATGCTGAAAAGTTGGGAACATTTTGCTAACAGAAAAGGGTAGTGTGAGAATGGGTGAAAATGCTTGCAGAGATAATGAGTTGGTTGGAAAGAATTCAGTATAAATACTGTAGTGAAAATGAGAGATCAGTTTGTCAACTTACTCTATAAGTTTCAATTTCTTATCTTCCAATATGAATGTCGCATCGAGTTCTGTTTCCAGATGATTGCTGAAATAAATATGATAATGCCTGACCTAATCATTACTTGACGGCAATAATATGGCGCACTGATTTATGTCTATGCTTAATATTTCTGGCCGACATATGCAGAAAGAAGACGGAAATGTTTTCTTTTGCAGGAAATAAAAATAAATGCACCTATCGAATTGAATTGAACTGCGAGTGCTTTCGCCATCTTCTTCTTCATCCAGAATACTAACACTTGTTGATGCTATTGAGAGCTCTTCCTCATCCTCATCGGAACCAGCAAATTGTGCCAGAGATTCGGGGTCATTCAGATTAAACGATGCCAATTCCATTTTTCTTACAACCTTTGTTATTTTGAAATTTGGCGGGTATTTCTTCGGATCGCTTTTTCTTTTCATTTCTTCATATCTAAATTCAATCATTAGCCAAATTTCAATTTTAAAATGAAAATCAGTGCAAAATATCGAAAATACAACATCATACAACAGCAATGGAAGTAATTTGAGCAAGATGAGAAAAAAAAGTACTGTCTCCTAGCACAGGCGCCACGATAATAAGATTGTATAACGACAACAGCGCGTCGAATTTGTTGATACCTTTGCTCTGCCTTAAAACGCTTCCAGTTTCGTTGAATCATCAAAGCTGCATCATACACTTCACGTAAATGATTTCTCACAATCATCCCGCGAGTAGCTGCCTGAAAGATGGAGTGAAATCCTATTTGGAATATTACTGTGATAGTGAAAAATTGAAAATAATTTGATTAATTAGTTAATCAAAAGTTATCTAAATATATCAAAAGGTCATGAGCTATTAAAGCATTTGAAAGTTTTTATAATGATCAAGTCATTCAATGTACTATCATAATGAATGATTTAGAAATATCAGATCATTAAAATGTTTCAATTTGAGGAGTTTGCTTAAATTCTTGAAAGAAAGAAATAAAATTGTGATGAGATAATTTCAGAGAAAATTAAGTGAAAAGATGTTAAAAGGCTGATAAAATGAAATAAGTTTCATTACGATGGTGAATTGATATTTCTACCACTCTTTTCTTCTATTCTTAATTTGTTATTAAAGTGTGACATAAATACCTGCATTGCAATAATGGTGTTGCGCAATTTGATATATTTACGCCTTGTCACCAGAGCTTGAATATATCTCTGTAACGTTTCGATATGTTTTATAATTACTCGATGAAGGTGGTCATCCAGAATCAACTTTTCAGCATCACGCATAAATACCTGAAGAAAGAAAAGGTAATGTTCAATATGACTTGCATATCTATTCCGGTCATTGCTTTAATCTTCAGAATATTAAATTTCATTTAAAACTAAGGTTTGCCTTTGATAGCTTGAATTATAAAATTATTAAAGTGAATAGAAAGAAAAGAAATGCTTACTTTGCTGATTCCAAACTGCACTTCATTACTATTAATCAATGGGTAATGTGTGATAAATTCCTTAACGTCTTCTGTGGTACTTTCACAGCCTTTTGGTAGAAGGACTCGATATTGCTTAATAAAATCCTTAAAAAGAAATCTTTCATATTTTCATGCCATTGTAAATAACAGATTGCAATTTGAAAGAAAATGCATTAATATCTTCAATAGTTAAATAATGTTTCCAACCTCATATTCTATGCGAACACTATAACCAGCTCGACGTATTCGTACTGTCTCGAGCATGCCTGTATAACGTAATTGTCGAAGAATAATGTTATCGTCAAAATGATTCGGAATCTGCAAATAGATAATTTGCATTTTATCCTATATTTCCTATACGAATTATTATCTATTTCAAAAAATTTAATCAAATTTAAAATAAAAAAATTAGATCAATAAGTACTTGTTGTCTTTCAGCAAGGGTACTACTGGCTAGGTACAATCAAAGCCTTACTTTGGCATTATAAAAGTATTTCAGCAAAGGCCATCATTAATGCTTTACAACAAAACCTTTTTAGAATATCATTCAGGTACCATTTTAAATAAAATTATAAGTGGACTTATCATGGAAGATTTTCAATGAAACGCTGCTTGACTATCATCAAGATATTACGATAACCTGTCTCATCATATTATCCAATAATGTTTAGATGCCTGGCAAGAAGTGTAACCAGAGCCTAACCCTAAATGTTGTCAGTGGTTAACCTAATGGAAAGGATAAAATGATTTATTGACATTGCTAGAAGAAGATCGACATACCTTCTCATTGTTAGATTTAATACATCTGATGAAATAAGGCGTTGCCTGAGACAATGTTTTCATCAGTCGCGATAACGAATGCTGGAACTGTTTCCCAACGGAAGATGGCTTTCCGGTGATACTCTTTTTTTCCGAAAAAGCCTTCACTGCCTGGAAAATAAGGCGAAATAGCAGAAAAGCTTATGTTGTCGTTAGACTTCTGTTATTTACAAATAGGAACTTTTAGAAATTGCTTCAACCAAGAATATCACTAGTCAATTCTTTACCTGTAAGCTTTTCAGAGCACTGTGACAATCTTCTACTTGTACATTTGGTTGTTTTCGAGCGTGGCTAACAATTGTGGTGAAAAATGATGTGTCACAAAATGATGGTACCACTTCCCGATTTATTTCACCACGTAGGAAAGCATTTAGATGCGTATCCGAACCAATCCCAGTTAATGTCGTCTTACTATTATGTGACAGCTTTGAATGTTCTATATTTTCTGAAGATAAGTCCAATTTCAAAAATTTCATTCCAATATTTTCTTCAATTTTCTCACGAATAATAATTGTATGGGATGAGAAAATTCCCTGATTTCCATAATTTGCCATTAAACTGTTAGTTAAGAAGAAAAATTTTCATATCAAACATAATGACCTGTTTTTTTCGCCAATTTTCCAGCCTGCGAGAAAGCGTTTACTGCCCGAAAAGTTGCTCGCAGCATGCCCCATCGAAATACCGCAACCGGATAATTTCCAACCAATCCACGAACAAATGCACTTTTACTTTTCTTGATTGCCATCAGTACTTCCTGTCTCATCAAATCCTTGTTTTTCTCACGAAAACCCTAAAAATATCTGGAAAATCCCGGCATAACGCGAAGGATCACAGACAATTCATTTATTCCATTTATTATTCTCTTATTACTGCTAAAATTATCTCATACTAAAAAATATCCCGTCTTCTGAATTCACTTGAAATATTGACCTTACAGATAGAATAATACAAAAGGACGAATGTTAATGAAATCAATTCTCATTTGCACATAGTTTTATCAACTTCATTTCATTTAAATTATTGACCTTAATCTGATATTTCACTTTTCCCGCATAATGAGCGATAATAAAGGCTGATTCACGCTTTTGAGGTGTCTCGTAGTATTCGTTGTTTTTAAGGAAATGATTGAGTTTGTCGAGCATTGATTCATCCGTTCCATTGTTGATATTACTTTCCTCATCAATCAACCGTAATATGCCATATGGTTTGCTCTGCAAATAAAACAACAACAACAATAACAATAGCATTTACATCAATTCCTTTCTCACTTCCCCTTTCTTAAAGTTGAATCATCAGGAATGTCCGGTTATTAAAACTATCGGCTTCTTTCCATGCGATATCATTTGCGGAACTGAGTGTGAATAACGCCTTCAAATCAGTCATTAAACAACCTTTTAACAACGTTAGTGATTAAGCAATCAAAAAAATTTAATTATCATGTGATAGAAAGTAGAGTCTAGTTCAACGATGTAATAAACTTCTTCACAAGTAATCTTCACTTCTAATTGATGTAACGGTGAAGAACACGATATTGATTTTTCTTCCAACTAATCCATAAATTGGTTTTATGCTAATAAAATCTAACTTATCAGTGTGCTGTTTTGCATCAGAAAAGCAAAACTAACCTGAAACAATTGAACACATTCAGTATTATCGGTATATTCAATGTTCGTCCAAGTAATTCCTTCTTTTAGATATTCTTCCTGTCAAAAGTCGAAAAATTATTAACGAATGATTCAACATTATTCTTCCATTAGTTTTCAAACAGCAACACTCGGGAAAGTAACCATAGATAAAAATATGTTATATATGTAAAATTAGTACATAAATTTCCTAACTGTAAGGAAGCAAACCGTGAATTTTCGATCTATGAAATTATTTATTTATCACACTTACATATTTTCATTAGCTTTCTCTTTCTATCTTAAATATATTTTTGGACTTTATTTTAATACTTCCAGTAGAACTTTTGCTTGTCATCTAGAAGAATGCTAGAATGTAAAAGGCATAATTTATACCTGCTCGAACTGAAAGATATGTTGATTGAAGTAAGCCTGCAAATGTTCATTTGCATAATTGATACAGAGCTGCTCGAATGAGTTCCACTTTCCACCAACATCTTCGAATCCAAAGATATCCAGGATACCTAGAATAGCCACTAGACATTTTTTGTTAATTTATTTTTTAATAGAACTGATTGATCTTAATGAGAAAGCCGGTACAAAAGTTTATGTCAAATTTATGATAAAATAGAAGGAAAGGTAAAAATTTCTGCTTTTAACTAAAATAGCTGTGCTTTGTTGTAAAATCCAATTGGACTTTTAAAATTCTACGAATTAAACATGACAACTAATAAATAATACACAAAATCCGACATAAACTGAAATCCAAATTATGCGCTAAAATCTGAAGACATTCCAAAAACTAATTTCTCACCAATAATTATAGAATTGATATGGCCACAACATGAAATTGGATCAAAATTTTAAAATTCGGAAAATTAAACTTAAAATCAGGAATTAAACTTAATTTTTACATGGCTCGAAAATTAAAAATGAAGTCTTGAATTTAAATTAAGACCGAAACTTGAATAGTTAAATACCAATATAATATCCCATTTTTGATGTAAGCCGTTCTTTTTTCAGCAACGCTTGATTTATGCGTAACACTATCCAATGAAACAAAGCATTGTACAGGCATTTCGCCATTGCATCGCGTGTATCTTTTGCCTTAATTTCATCAATTTTATCGTTTATGTCGTTTAAAATAAATTCGCTAATTATTGCGAAAATTTGTGATCTCTTTGACGTCGTGGAATTAATGAAAATAATTTTCAGTATATAATTTAGCATTTCTTTCCTTTACTAGATCACTAACTATAAATTATCCCAAAGTATTATATCCATATCAGTATAGTTTGAAATCTGAAAGGATTTTATGTGCATTTCTGGAAGGCTATGAAGTACAATGATCTTCAATGATCTTCAAAAAAACTTTTTGATAGAAAAGATATTTGATACAACATTTTATGGCAAAGAGAATTATGAGAAATTGTTTTTACTGATGGTGATAATTTACAAAGATTTATATGAATGCCTTATTTTCTATTAATTAATTATCCCTACTCTTATCATTATAAGTGTCTGACTCCATGCTTCTATCAAAACTGTTTGGAAATTCAAAAATACTGAACTTACTTCGCTAACATTATACTGCGAAATGACGACATCGTTTTTCATCACTGTCCGACGCATCGTTAAAGCTTGCTGTAAGTTGGATGCCTTGATATGCAATAATGTCGAAATAATGCCTAATACCTCTTCATTACCAATAGAAACATTCTCATCACTATGATAACCACTTCTCTAAAAGATAGTACTTCATTTATCACTGATAATCATTGTCAAAGAGATCTTAAAGGCATTTCAAATTTTCATCGTGTTATTTTGAGATTTTAAATAAAATGAAAGCTTTGAATTAAAATTCTAAATATCAAAATGGCCTTTTTTCAGGAATTTTCATACTCTTTTTCTTACCCTCACATACTGTATATTCCCAAGAAGTAATACAGCCGAAATAACAGCGAACATATTTTGTTGGGATTGTTGTAAAAAGCCGACAGCATCCATAGCAAATTTGAGTCTTTGATATTCGTAACATTCATTTACTCCCTCCGCTGCATAAAAATTGTTCTGAAAATAGCAACTTTTTCATTAACTTTGAATGAATTTGTCTTCTGGAAAATATTATATAAATTAACAACCGATCAATTTAATATGTCTCAATTTATTTTTAATTTAATTTCTCAAATACCGAGAATATTCGGATTTCGATTTGAAATTTATGAATCAGTAAACATATCTGTAGGAAAGAGAATGAGAGAAGAAACAACTAAGTGAATGGGAAGGAAGGGAAAAGAAATCTATTACCAATATTCCATTCTGATTTTTCTCAAGCCTACCAGATGTTGGAGACACTTTAGTCATCCTTTTAAAACAGGTTATCCTATGGGACATTATAGTCATTCTTTTAAACAGGCTATTCTTCCTTCTACATCGTTTTACTGTAACATCTTCAGATATGTGTCCTCATTATAGAGTTCCATTCTTTCCGTTGTTTGCAAGATTTCTACACATATATTTTCGATCGCATGTCATGCATTGCATGCAGCAAGAATGTTAATTGATAAGAAATGTGATTCGATTGGTTTGAGAAGTATTTTTCCGATAATTTGTGCCTTTAAGTAACGGAAGGATAGATGACAAAAGCAAAGGAATTATTTTCGGATCCTTTCTTTCTCTCACTCAGCAATTTCTTCATTCAGTTTGCAATTGCTTCCATATTTCTGCGGTGATAAAGCGCTCAAATAGCAATTGTGGGAAATATAAATGATTTGATATGACATAAGTTCGTCGTCTAAATCTATCAAATCAATTGAAGTAATTTCCGGAAAAATAACAATGCATGAATGAGTCAAATTCGTACATGGCAAATCCCCTCGATCCTTTCATCATATATCTTATTACCTCTTTCAAAACATCCTGCACACATCTCTTATTAGGATGCAGAATTAGCAAAGATTCATATTTTCGAATATTTAAAAGACTAATCAAACGAAAACCGAAAAACAAGGAAACATGAAGAAAGACAATAAATAAATATTTCGTTAAAAGTTTACTTTGATATTAATAATTCGTAAAAAGTAGGAGCGAGCACTCCTGTTTACCTGATTAAGGTAGCTATAATCGGTTGGTTGCATCAGGTAATGTCTTCGTCGCTCCTCATCCGACGCACCATTTAATAAATAGTAAAAAACATGATAGTTCCTGCGGGGCATAAACATTTTTAAAATCGAATCAATGCAAAATATCGTTTACTGAGAGAGTACGCATGAAGAATAAAAAGCTTATCTAAATCATAATTTGGGATCTTCATATAGTTACCTATCTCAAAAGATTTCAAATCAGTTTTACCGGTTAAACCTTAAAAAAAATGAATGTTTCACATCTTCCAGTTGAAAAAGAACTTTTTTTTACCTTTCGTCAACAGCTTGTGAAATGATTCGTGATTTCTCCAGCAGGTAAATTTCAACATTTGCTCTAAAAAAATTGAATTAATGAATTTTACCAATTTTTAAAAATAACAACTATCTTCATGAAGATCTGATTTAAAGATGAAAATATCTTTGTGTCGATAATTGGATCGCTGGATCTTAAGCATATCGTATTTCTTTCAAAGCTTCAGGAATATATATATATATATATATATCATTCTCATAATACTAATCCAGTATCGACAGGCCACAATAAGAATCTATGATAGAATTCTTCACAATTACCATAATATTTTGGCTTTTTTGAATATTAAATTTAAACATACCCCGAGACCATTCCATTTTCGCGATAATTCACTCTGATGAATTTCCCAAATCTGCTGCTGTTATTATTTTGCACTGTCACTGCATTTCCAAATGCCTTTAAAGGTTTTTCTTTTTTTTAATTTAATTAAAGCCTGACTAAGGATTAACTCAGTAAATAATAACGAGTATTTAGCGATATCAAAAGTTGCAATATTTGTTTGAAATACGTGCAAAGATAGAAGAAAACAAACCTCAAGTACAGGTCCGGCAGAAAGTAAAGTTTTTTCAACGGAACTTCCAGTACTGGAACCTTTTTGACTGAGTGTGGTGAAATGATGTAATAAGAAATTTGTTGACTCAGTTTTTCCAGAACCTGATTCCCCACTTATCACAATACACTGATTTTTCTTAATTCGTAACATGCTGAAACAGGTTTTGATTCGATTCATTCTTGATATTTAATGATATATTGAAATGAAGTTTTCAGGGAAGCTTTGTAATTGAAAACTAATATGATTTAACGTAGCATAATAGTTAAATAATTATGTGCATTATATCACGGTAAAAAAAGTATTCAACTTTATATTGTGATTTGAATCAATTAATATAATGATTAGGTGAAGGATCAACATAAAGATTCATACAGACCATTACAATGATGAAATAATGCAACATTGACTCTTAATTATGCCGTCAAAAATATCCTAATTCAATCATCAAATAAATCAGATGGATCAGTTTGATGGGTAAGATTTTAAGCGTTTTTTAATAATCAGATCATGATGTCCATCACATATTGGTTGTCATTATCATCAAAAGAAAATGTGTTGTGAGGGATTACTTATTTACTAGTTGGTCAAGCTCTCAAAATTCAAGCCAAAGAATGGGAAGTTGTCGTAATCGAAAAGGGCAAATAAGTGATAGTAACATACCTGTGATATGTAATATTAGCAATGGCAAAAATATGTGGTGGCATAGTGGAGAGCTGTCGAATTTGAGAATACAGCCGAGCATACTTTGGATTATAGATTGGAAAGAAGTTAAACGGATTAACAGCTAACAAAATTGGACCTGTAATACTGACCTGCATTTATTGAATAGAACGGAATCAATTAATTCATTAAAGCTAACTACGAATCGGTTAATTTATTAAACATATAAGAAATCAATTTCAAGTTAAAAACAGTATGATAGAGTTCGCGCCATCTTTTGTATTTAAAGTATACAAGTTCAGGAATTGAAAATGGAAAAAAAAGGTAAAAGTACTGCATAGATGATAGTAAAGTAAATTTTGCTGGCACGCATATGCGAATATATAAAAAGTTGAATCAACCCTTGGGACCGGCATGTGAATTGCAAATAGGCAGCTGCAAATGAAGCGCAAATGTCGTAGCGGTGAGTAAAATATTAGTTTTGAAATCCACAATATTTTCATGTCTGTTTGTCTGAGTTATTCCGGTAGCCGAAATAGTTTTCTTTTTTTCTCATTAACTTTGAAATGAAAAAGAAATTACAAGATTTACCGATATAGGTATAGATGTGTCCACTAGCAAAGCGATCCTTAAGATTATCAAGTAACGTTTGTTCCGTAAGCTCTGGAAGCATGCATAAATCTGGATACTCACGGTCCTAAAATAAAAATCTTGAATTTGAAATAATAAGGTTTTGGTTACCTTCAGCAACCGTAGAACAAACTTTTCCATCAATAACATCATATGATTCTTACCTAAACAGGCCTCATTTTTAAGCCAAAATGTGAAATGAAACATTGTGATACCTGAGGTTGTGTCAAGAATTTGGCTAAGAATGAATCGATATTAGATGTTTTCATGGATCCAAAATGTACACCATCGGATAACATTGATGAATCTTTATGTCTAGAAGTTGCAAGGTAAACACACCGAGAGATAACAAAGAGTATTTTTTTTAATCGTAACTTAAACTAATAAAATGAACTTTACGGAACTGAATTCAATTTAAATAAATACTTTGTAAAATATAATTCCTTTATTTAAAAAATTAACTGGTTCCCTAAAATTCCAAATTAGTTCCAGAAAGTCGTACAAATCGGTTGAAGATCCCTTGTTTGGTCCTTGTAAAAGCATAATGCAAAAGACTTGCACTTCAAAACTAGCAAAGTTTCTCGATTGGCCTAATCAAATGTTTCTACTACATTGAAAGCCGAGCTTGTTTCCAGTTCAAACTTACCATGCCGCTGCTACTATTGACATATGACCCCTACCGGCTATACATATCAAAGCATTTAGGTTAAAAAATGAGACAGCAACAGCAAAAGTCGTTCTTGTTATATGGCCAGAATCTTTTAAAAAAGAAGTACGAGAACGCAATTACTTGAAATGCAACATGCAAGCTACTTGAAATACAACTAAATGGCCAAGATCGGTCTAATCCTTATTCTCATTTGATTGGCTTTTATTCCAACAGTCAAGTAAAAATTTTCACTTATTTTCACCTCAATACTAAACGGTTTTTTGGTGCGGCTTCGTTGCTTGCTCCGTGCATCGGTCGTGCCCACAACATTTGTACAGCTACCGGATATTCGCCCCGGTCAAGTTTTCGTTCTTTGAATGTCTGCCCATCCAGTGTACCCATAATTTCGTATAGTTCATAATCATCAGCACACTGATGCGCCAATTCTGCAATATGTTGGAGAAGTAATCATATCTAAACTACCCATGAATCTAATCATATCATTCTTAATCATGAATAATTACGTAAAATACACGCTCGCTTTTATACCTATCATTCTATCTATTTTGTTAATTCTTAATTATTAGACATTATTATTTAGTGATGAAATTTTTTTGAATCATTTTTCCTTAATTTAAGAGTTTTTAATGTATTGCCGATTTTACTCGTTGCTTTCGGAAATTTACCTTCTTTTTGTTGCAGAACTTTTTCAATAAGTTCTTCAGTGGTTGCCCATTTATGGAAACCAAAACTAATCCGATCTTCAGAGGAAGTCGGATTAAATGAATATAAATAAACAGAAACAGTTTGAAAATGTGAATCATCTGTCGAATTTGTATTTGAAACGGTTAACGATCGATGTGGATAGACGTTTACCGTACTGACAGAACCTAACGATGACGTCGAATCAAAACTCATTATTCCACTTTACAATTAAATAGTAAGAGCAAATGTATTGTATTTATAAACCAAATTTACGCGTATGTGTTGAATAGTGGAAAGCACTTCTGTGCGCCAATTCGATTCTGAAATCATATATCATTATTGTTCTCTATAGAAAATAGTTTCATGCTCACAGTGAACTTTGTTCCAGAAAGCACGTCAATGTATGAAAGGGAAGAAACGTGTGATATGTTAACGTATGATATGGGATTGCGTGAAATAGAAAAGAAGAGCTAACAAAATAAATTAAAATTTGCCGAAATTTGCAGCAACAAAAAATTCAGTACAACGAATTTAACGGATATTTTGGTGAAGAGTTCGGGAAAAAGGACAAACTAACTATTAAGTGTCATAACTTTTAACATTATCGCATGAAGTTTTACAATCTGTCAGGAGGATATAGCGTGTAGGCTATCTACAACGAGTGATTTTGGCGTGATAGAGGACTGCTCGTTTCACATAGATCCTCGCAGAGCCATTAAGAGGTTTAATCTTCAAGAGATTGAATTTCATCGGAAATTCAATTAAATTGAATCAGTTTTTATTGGGAAGAAATTTTAGGAAGATAGAAAAAAGAAAGAGTACAGATGAGGAAGTGGAAGAAGGAAAGAGGAAGAATGGATCAGTTTGACATAAATAAACAAGATGGAATGGAGAGTGAGGTCGATCTCTGAAGAAAGGATCACGAAGCAATGAAGTGCTTGAAACTAGTTGTTTTCAATTTCAATTTTTCTATTTTCTAACTGATGGCAATCACTCATCAAATCGACATGACTATCGCAACAAATATTATTGGATGGTAGCACTATCACACATGTTAACGCGTACTGTCTGTAACACTTATATTTTGCAATGACGTAAATGTCACGTGATCCTTCATTCATTTGTCTTGTAACCATATCAGATGAAAAATATCAAATCGGTAATTGGTATTGATTTGATACAATTCCGGCAATAGAAATTATTGGCAGGAATGATAACGATAATCATAGCGATAATGACAGCAATACAACGATGCTGATAACGATAAGAATAGTTGTAAGGTAAGAGAGCTATAATCAGTGGAAGAGACCAAACCTTTTTTTGATTGATATTCAAATCCTTTTACATAGTACTTAATGTTGGTTGATTGCTGGTGTTGATGGCTGATAATGATAAGGATCGTGGTTAGTAACGGCAAATTTAATGACCCATTAAATGTTCCGAAATTTTCAGCAATCTTGACGGATGATCACTGTCGTAGTGAATAGACTGACTTGCTTACCTCTAAAGTCAGCTGTTCATATGAGCCAAGGAGTGCAATGTTGCTGTGCTGTATGTGTGTGTGTATGTGTGTGTGTGTGTGTGTGTGTGTGTGTGTGTGCGTGTGTGTGCGCATTATTTCCCTCTTCCTCTTTATAAATCGCACAAATAAAATATAAATCCCAAGGAAACAGGAAAAAAGCCATATGAGAAGTTAAGGGAAGAGATTGAAGTTTAATATGTGACATAGCATAGCATCATTGCAATACCGCTATCTGGAATTCGAACTTGAGCCTGAACCCTAGCTTGAGGTTAAGGTCGAACTTTTACTTCCCACACAGACATGACAATCTTTATTGCTTTTCTTAGATTTCAAAGTACTGAAAAGCAATAAGAAAGGAAGAAGAGCGAAGAAGGTGGCATTCTGGTTGCAAATTCAAAGGAATTAGTAGTGATTGACAAAAACCCAAAAAAAGAAGTGGATTGCGATACTGAAATGTCGGAAATACTGCTGTTGCAAAGAAGATAAGATAATATATAGAACTAATAAACAGTAATGTTGCATCAAATTTCTTTCGAATTTCATCATTTTAATCAAATAAATTTACCTTTACCTACCTTTAATGAAATAATTTTACCTTTACCTATAATAATATAACTTAATTAACTCAATCGTAACAATAGAAAAAATGTATCGTTAATTGTTAAAGTTATGAAAAAATTTTGGAAAGATAGAAATGAAAATAGAACAATACAAACAAACAATAAATGAATCCAAAGCACAAATTGAAGTCACAGAATTCATACGGTGATGAACATTACACGACACTGTTAAATATTCGATATAATATAATAAATACGGACAAGAAAGATTAGTTACCTATAAAAAGCCACTAGCAGTGGCGGTAATGGTGACGGTGACGGTGGCGATGACGATGGTGGTGCGGTGGCGATGGTGGTGGTGATATTGTTATCATCATCCGGCAGATGTTTCTTAAAATGAAAGAATGTGCTCGCATAGAGAAGACGTAGTTTATGTGTATTAATTGTACATCCGCATAGTTAAGCACAGAAGGTTTTTGGAGATAAGGGAAAATTATGAACCGCAATAGCTAAGCACAATTTTTTGTGTTTTATTTTTTTCTCACTTATTCCTCCTTCCAGACAGTCTTTATTGATGACAATTCAGACTTCATAAATAATCAGTTACTGGTGCAGGCAGCGTGAAATTGAATTTGTTTCGTATGATGATGTCCACCTTAGCTTTGAGTTATTTTTTCAGCAATCCTTCTCTTGGATCCAAGTAAAAAAAGTGGAAAGATTAAGATTTCATCTTCAATATTATCAATTTTGTTATTTAAACAATATTACACAGAGTAATTACCGTGGGAAGAATTGTTAAACATGAAATTCAAGACAAATTTCTCTTTGCAATAATTAGGAAAACTCAAAATTTATTGAAAATGAAATCATAATGTCCGGAACTCGAAATCTGATAATTTTTTCTTCAATGAAACAGATATTAAAGAACAATTACCGTTAAAAGCAATGGAACCGCTAGTCGAGAAAATTGTACGTCCATTTTAGAGTTAAATAATTAGGAATCTGAAAATTATAAACAATAGGGAAAAAATTAAGCTTTCAAAGCTTAATTTTTTTTTTCAAACACAGTAGTTGTAATTATGAAAAATTCTGGAATTCTGAAAATTTAAATAGAAATATTGTAACAAATAAAATATAAAAATGTTACCTTACTAATTATCCTCTTCTGCTTTTAGTCCATATTCTGAAGGATGGCACTAACAAATATCATTATTTTTCTTCTTGACTCAGCCTTGATAATATAAAAGAAAAGCAAAAAGGAAAAGAGAAGTTTTCACGTGCCGCTCTAGAAATAATAAAATTAATCGGTGCTGTTTCCAGTCGTTGAAATCTTTCAAAAGCAATTGTTCCAATTTTAATTTTTTGTTTATCCTTTTATAAGCTATATAGTTCTCCAGAAGATCACAGCTGTATTGAAAGTAAGGTACAGAAAAAAGAAAGAAAGGAAGGATTTTACACCGTACGCTGAAAAGGGATAACAAGGAATGAAACATTATAAATTTATACTGATCATCAAATTTCGTTATTGAATTTACATTGAATTAAGAAATTTCCAAAATCAAAGCGTGTCCAAATTTAAACAAAATGCTGGAATTCTTTGAGAAACAATCAAATCTAAAGAATTTTCGGCGGATGAATTAAATAAATTAGCATAAATTGCTATTCTAAGTTATTTGATCATTTTTTCCAAATAACTAAAACAAGTTTTGACAAATATTTTCCTGCTCACAGTTACTCTTTCTTAATTCTGAAATCAATTCATTTTTCAAATTTTGAATTGAAGCGGCAGTTAATAAAAATGTTTAAATGTGTGGTGCCAACCAATGTCTTTAGGATTGTTCATTTTCAACATTTTCCTTTTTTCATTATTCCATTACCTGTTTTGTGCAATTTTTTTTTACATGGCCGATGATTATTAGGCGAGTGATAAGCTAGTGATGAAAGAAAGATACAACATTTAATTCTAATTCATTTATACTTCACAACCCTTCGAGATCTTAGTGAAAAAATAATTCGTCTTTGATCCATCAAACTTTTGTTTCATTACAAAAATATTTGTTATGCTTAAGCAAGAAGGCTATATCGTATCATTTAAATTAGATAGGAATTAGATCTTTCAAAAAGATTCCTTAAAATAGTTTTAAAAAATATTAAATGACTTTTTTAAAAATTTTAAATTATTTTATTTAAAATTCGATTTCATTGAATTTTGAAGAAAATAATTTCACAAAAAGAAATTAATATAATTAATAAAATTAATTAAAATTAAAGCAAATTGATTTCTTTTTACCATCTTTTTTTTATTGTTATAATTATAACTTAAAGAAATGAAAGGATGGAATAATTATTTTTAATTCGTTTAAATAATTGGTAATAATCGGATGTTTTTTAATATTCCTTTCCGAAATACGCCATTAATTTTCTAATTTCAGAATTTTTGACATAAATAGTAACAAACCGGAATTGGTATCGTTATAGCATAACTGGAATATAGTACCGGATTACTAATGAGAGATTATTTATTGATTGTTAACATTGTTGAATTTATATCGTTTTATAAATATTTTCCTTCATTCCTATTGTCATGTACTTATACTCAATTACCTATTTATGGTACAAATTATAACATGAATTAAATGGCCGACATCTCCCACAAGATTAATATTACGGCTATATCCAGACCATAATGTTTTATATCATTAACCAAACCAAGATATCTCAGACATCCCAGGCAAAATGATTTCTCTTCCGAAAAGTTTTTTTCTCTCTTATAAGTTAATCAGTCAAAATACTATTATGCAACAATTTACCGAATTTCAGTGATATATTTTCTGTTTCAGCAAAAGAGAAACGATTAGAGAAATTATTCTATTCTATCGCTATCATATCAGTTATATTCGACAGTAATGAAAGAGATTATATTTAATTTAATTTCATCTTTGGTGTCATTGTAAAGAAATATGACTACTCATTGTCAAATTTACTAATTTCGTGAAGTAAAAAAAGGATAAAATACTATCTGTAACAATGCTTTGAAATCTTTCGTAGTTTATATTTTTGCCACTAAATTTTTCCAATTTCGACTCAAATTGAAAATCTAATTAAAGACGAAATTAAAATAAATCATCAAG